TCATTGTGCGCGCTGATGAGCGTGGCCTTGGTCAGTCGCCAGGCTTTCTAGACACAATGTCAAGAGGAACCAGCGAGGCTTTCTTCGATGTCGTCGAGTGGGCAGCTGAGCAGCCTTGGTCATCTGGAAAGGTCGGTTTGCTTGGTATAAGCTACTACGCTGGATCGCAATGGCGTGTAGCAGCGCGCAGGCCCAAAGGCTTGGCCGCAATAATACCGTGGGAAGGTATGAGTGATTATTACCGAGACAGATGCCGTCATGGAGGTATTTTGAGTAACAAGTTCATCGACTTTTGGTGGTAAGTCTGATATGTCCTCTCTATAAAAAAGAAAGTAAGTGCTAATTCAATTTTTCTTCAGGAACCGCCAAGTCATCACAAATCAATATGGTCGCCCAGGCCGCGCAGAACGAAACTGGGGACCAGACACAGTCGATGGAAATCTATCTGACGAAGTGCGGGCAAAGAACCGACAGGATCAAACTATTGACACTGCCAAGTACAAGTTCCGTGACGAGCTATACTACGCGAGCAAAGAGTACGATATGAGCGATATTGAAGTACCACTCCTATCGGTCGGCAATTGGGGCGGTATCCTGCTTCATCTTCGCGGCAACATCGAAGGCTACGTTCACGCTGGGTCTCAATTCAAATACCTACGAATGATCACTGGAAGACATGACCTGCCCTTCTACTACAAGGAAGAAGTCGAGATACAACGAAGCTTCCTTGATGCTTTCCTCAAGGGCGAGGACCGTGTTGGCTGGTCCGTAAAAGGCAAGCTGCCTCCAGTCGACATGGTTCTCCGCAAGGGCGACGTTGGCTTCGACGATGCCGAGAAAGAAAAGGTGTATCAAAGACGAACCGAAAACGAATGGCCCATTGCACGAACCCGTTACACAAACTTCTACCTCACCCCCTCCCAAACTCTAACCCAAATCGCACCCATCGTAACCCGCCCACAAAAACTCTCCTACGAAGCCCTCGGCACTCTCGACAACCCCAAGCTTCTCCAATTCACCACCGCGCCCTTTGAAGAAGAAACTGAAATAACCGGGCACATTGTCGCGCACCTCAACGTCTCGCTCTCAGCCCATGCCACGGGCGCCACACCCACTGACATCGACCTCTTCCTCACCCTCCGCTACATCTCTCCTGAAGGCAAAGAAGTCCACTACACAGGCACAGCCGGTGACCCCATCCCCCTCGCCAAAGGCTGGCTTCGCGTCAGCCTCCGCAAAACCAACCCTTCGCACCCCAAGCACCGCCCCCACCTCCCCTGGCGCGACTACTTCAGCACAGACGTGCAACCCGTTGTCCCCGGCGACGTCTACGCCGTGGATGTGGAGGTATGGCCCACGAACGTGATTGTGGAGAAGGGCGGCAAGATTGTGTTTGAGGTTGCGAGTGGGGATACGCAGGGTAGTGGCATTTTCCAACATACGCATCCTGAGGATCGGAGTGAGGAGAGGTTTGGCGGGTGGAATCATGTGCATTTTTCGGAAAGGGCGCTGAATTATGTTACGTTGCCTATTGTGCCGCCGAAGTAGGGGCTATGTAGTGTGCCTTTTTAGAGAATATAATTGTTTTGAGATGTTGGTATATTGTGTGATACTTGTGTGTGATTGCTGTGGCCAATATTGTGAGCATTCGATCCACATGTTGTTCATGTCGGAGTACCTCATGAGTGAATTGTTTGAGGCGCGAGCAACATGAGTCTGATTTATATCATTCTTCGTTCAATATCCCGATGTCATGCACGGTTGAAATTACAATCTGTTCAAGGAAATTTGAATGTATATTGAACCGAACATAAAAGAAAAGCCACCATGGATATCGTTACAAACTTTCTAAGTCCACTTGCCAATTGTAAACTGGCTATTACACATATTCACCAACTCCCAGTCCTCCGCACCAAGCACAGCCTCGTCTGTCTCCCTCTTGCTTCCATCAACTACGCCGGCAACAAAGCACGCGGCCATGTAATGATCGTCAGTAGCATGTGCATCTCTGAACATGGGGTGCTTCATCAGCCTTGTGATTCCTCGTGTCAGACTACCCTTCTTGGCCCCCTTTCTGCAGCACCGAATAAACACATCCTCGACGCACTGACGGAACTCAAGCATAGGAGCCTCTGGGGGATATGGCTGGGCGAAGTTATCTGAGTAGCGGAGCATTTGGCCCCAGTGATTTCGGTAGAGGTTGTGGACTGCGCCTCCGGTTCCGATGATAAGGTATCCCTCGTCGCGGAACTTGGATAGGATGTTGCCGACACGGGCATGCAGATGGGGGTCGAATCGCGAGTTCATACTGATGATAGTGGTGGGTGGGCATTTTTCAGGGAACATGCGAATGAGGATGAGATAGGTATCGTGGATCCAGTCAAAGGAGTCGTTTGGGCGCGCATCAATGCCTTTTTCTCTCAGTGCGACAATGCATTTCTTTCCGCTCTCGAGGTCGGGGACAAGTTCGTAGTCCTTGTATTTGCGGGGGTGGACGTAGGCAACGGGGGACTTTGTGGGCTTGGGGTTCATGGCGACGTCGATGCGGTTTACGCCGCGAGCGTCCCAGTGGGCGCCCATCATGATGACGCCTTTGAAGCCGTGCGAGAGGGCTTCGTCGCCACAGGCTTTCCAGTAGTCGGCGGATTTTGACTCCTCGCCGAGCATCATGGTGGAGCCATGGGAGAAGAAGTGGACTGGTGGGACAGGCATGGCTACGCAGTGTGGTGTGTATGTTGCAGCGAAGATGAGTAGCGATGGGCGTACTGTGGTCGCCGCGATCTTGGATATCACTTGATAGAGACTACAGAAGGACGGTTGGAAGTGCGGATGATGTGGAGGCTGTACCTGTCCTGGTCTGGTGCTTTACGTGAGAGCGGATGTGGCCCATGGCGAATGTCGGGATGTGGGGGAGGAGATGGGGATGTGTACGAGCAAGACGCGTCTTATTGTACCTAGCGGTAGTAAGCCCGCCCGAGTCTGGTATTAGGCATTGTGTGGACTCTTTGATGATCAGCGAGACCAGACGAAAACTCGGAGCATTCTCTGCGACAAATATGTTGAGAAGAACAAGGAGTCGTAGGCTCCAGTGTTGCCACAGAAGTGACCGGGAATGGGACGGAGACCAGGAGCAAAAACGAGGGCCATGTCCGTCGCTGTGTTTGAAGGCATCGGTCGCCGCTTCCACAAACAGGAGGGACGGGCACAGATCAGCCGAGGCCGGGATGCGGGCCCGCCCCCGTCTCGGCATGCGGACAAATGCACACCACGCGACACCAACTCCGCACTCTCCCCACACGTAAGGTTATCTCCCTCCACTTCCCACCTCCCGATGCCGTCCCTCGTCAATCTCACCCGATAGCAACAAGCATCCAATGATGCAGGTGAGCACAGCACAACCAAACAGTCAACCTGCTCATGCCGAGCTCGATGCCGAACAGGCACGTCTGTTCCAGTGCAGCACTTGCAAGCGCTCCTTTACCAGAGCTGACCACCTCACCCGACACGTGAGAGCGCGTAAGTCTTTGTCCCTGCTACCAGCACCTGTGGTTGAGCGAGAGATGTGGGACGCGCTCGCGACCAACGTCTTCGGTGCTCCGCAGACTTCTGGCATCCACTTTAAAGAGTTTACTGCCCCTGTCTGCTACGAGGCTTGTTCTGCATAGTCGATGTCTTCTTGCTCTGCACATGCCTCAAAGGTAGTCACCCTTTCTTGTTCAAACACCAACAAGATGGCTGTGTCCTGACATTCGACGCGCCTGATTTTACATACACATCTCCGAACCCTAGGAGACTGACCCCGCTTCAACAGACACAAAGTCCAAGCCGTACATTTGCCCGGTCTGCTCCAAGGGCTTTGCCAGAATGTGAGTGCTTTGTGAAGATGTCGTGCTAGCACCTCATCACAACCGTTGCCGTGAGACTCATCTAACATGCTGCAGAGACTTGCTCAAGCGACATGTAGCAAACCACGACACAGAGCCCGCCAACAAGCGGCAGAGGCGCGAAATATCTCGCGACACAAGAGTGGTCCAAGCCTGCGAAGCCTGTTCCCAGAGTCATCTCCGATGTGAAGATGAGAAGCCATGCAGTCGGTGCAGGAAGAAGAAGATACCCTGCAAGGTACCTGAGCCGACTGCTACCGACGAGAATGAGAGTCACGAAATCGATGCTGTCCATGCCGCTCAAGACTTGCTCGATTTGTCCAATGGCTTTGATTACCCCTCATCGCTGCCTGGCCAGAGCGGGAGTACCAATCCCCCGGTGTCTACAACCTCACAGATACCAGAACCATTCCACAACTCTCAACATCTGTCCATGGTGGACTCTAATAGTATCAAAACTGACTCTGCTGGTTGTAGAGGCTCTGACACAAGCACATCAGTCATGAACACCATGCAGCCACCACCTAACACTGGCAATGGGCTGGTTCAAATGAACCATAACTTTGAAGATCAAGACCATACTTCAGCAATGTCCTTTTTTGATACCTCCATCCCACCCTTTGACAATACGCCGGCGCAGAATCCATTTCTACCAGATTACTTCCGAAACATGCCCCCATGCGATGCCTTTCTTTCTGGTCAGGCTACTCCACGTGGTATATTGGATCTGAGTTTCGACATCGATGTTGGTCTTACCGATCTCGATCTTGGACTGCTCGATCAGTACAACTTCCAGGCCCCTTTTGCTGCCGACACACCGTCCACTGATGCTCATGGTACCGAGCATTCTCACCCAGAGACCGACACGGCACCAGGTAGAGCAGAAGCTTTCAAGCAGAGCATATGGCGTTACCTTCCTCAGAGCTCTCGGAACCCTAGCGCAGAACAAGTAAACCTAGCCTTTTCGGATGCTGAGAGAGACAGCAGGCGCGCCCACATTGCACAACGCCGGGTAGTTGCGGAAAAGTAAGACGAAGCTTGTTCATTCAATGATTCCGTCGTTGACACCATCTAACCTTTGTTTACAGACTTCCTCGTGTAAGCCGTGACCGATTGATGGCCCTAGTCTTGGGAACATGCACTCCGGAGAACGTTAAGAAAATTGCATCCGCTTTTCCCAGCGTAGAGTTACTAGATGGCCTGATTCAGTACTTCCTCACCTCGCCATCCCTCGACACCCTCACGTGGTTTCACCTCCCAACCTTCTCCCCCTCGAAACTGAATCCAGAATTGCTTGCAAGTATAGCATCCGCTGGAGCTGCCACAATTCCCGACTTCTCACTGCGAAAACTCGGATATGCTTTGCACGAAGCTTCCAGGATGGGTCAGTCTAGGACTTTTGAAGAGGACAACACAGCAATCAGAGATCTTCAACATCTCCAGACATTCCTCCTGCAGCTAGGAGTGGGCATGTGGAGTGGCATCAGCCGGAAAATGGAGATTGCAGAAAGTTTTACCCAGCCCCTGGTAACAATGCTTCGGCGAGGCGCCCGCTTCCGCCGGTCGACATGGAAGGAAATCCGCCCGGAGCCAGATGAGCAAGGATCTGCATTGGAAACCAAATGGCTCAGTTGGGTTCAGCAAGAATCATTCCTTCGATTGGTCTACCGTGCTTTCGAGTTTGATAGGCAATCCTCCATGGCACTGCTCAAGCCACCACTAATATCTTATGCTGAGATGCAACTTCCGTTACCGAGTTTCAGCGCTCTTTGGCAGGCTAAATCAGCAACAAGCTGGAAAGCGGCCTACTTGAACCTGCCACCAATGACAATAAATAAGCCATCAGCCATGGAATGCTTTCTCAATCTGGGGCACCTCTCGCACCATGACCATGCTAGCCTAACGTTCCTGTACATGATATGGGGCGCGATTTGGGAATACCGCCAGATGTGCACAGTGACATCTCGCTCACAGGCCGTGTCGAACAACAGCCTCATACTATCGTCGCGCTACCAAGATCTTACCAAACAGCTCGAGGATTTCCAACTCAGCTGCCCACCCATGAACAAGAGTGTTGAGATAACTCTAGAGATCATGCTGGTTCATCTTAACGCACCTTTGGATGACATTCAGCTTTTTGCAGGTATCGAGGGGCAGGAAGAAGCGCGCATCGCATACATTGGCCTACAAGACTGGGCCAACACTCCTTCAGCACGTCAAGCGCTCTGGCATGCTGGTCAGGTTTTGCGCGCCGCTGAAGTGTTGCCAAAGGCTTTGTTGAACAATTTCAACGCCATTGCCGTCTACCATGCCGGGCTGATCCTGTGGTGCTATGGATTCCTCAAGCGATCTGTTGCGCCAGAATCGACACAGATAGATACCACGGTCGTTCTTAACGGAGACGATTCCCTGAGCGCTCGTAAATTTATCACGTTGGATCGGGGCATACCATCGATACGAACATATGGTTCGCACAACCCAACCCAGTTAAACGATGTCTGCGGGGTTATGGACGGCCTGATACATCTCCTGCGGACACGTCACGATTCCTCAGAACCGTGCCCACCACTTGTTGGGAACTTGGTGCAGCTTTTGGAAGGTCTGCGTTCGGCAATAAAGTAATCGCCACAACAATACACCGATGCATGAAGGCGAGCAATTATGTAAACTATAATCCTATAGGTGCCGGTCACTGCTCATTGAAAATAATAACTTGCTCTTTCAGCAATATACCCTCTTATCTGTAGATACGCGTAATTTGGCGTATATGTTGTTTGGTCCCACAGGCGGCTTTATCCCAGTGCGGTAAAATGCACGCGCAACCCGAGCTCATCCTGTCGGTCCGAACGCCAAGCTGCTCTGCTCTTCCATTAAGTGGCAATGACTATTAATTGTATTCAGGCCTGGGCGGTCTGGACAAAGCGATATCCCCGCATTTCTAAGCTACTTGAAGAATAGTTTCTCCACACAGACTCCCCCCCCACATTCCGAATGACCCCGGAATCTGAGATCAAACTGGGGTAAACCCCATGTCGATTCGTCCAATACCCACACCGATGAGGACGGCAAGTCTGTGTTGTAGTACTGTCTGGCCTATTTAGATTGAGAAGCTCTCGTGCCCGCAATCCAGTGACCATTGTGGTTTTTGCTGGCTTTTCATTCTGATCGGTACGTACCATCAGCCGCAATGACATCCCTGAGTGCGGCGTTCAAGCTTTCCAAGGAGGAGGTGCGCAATGCCAGGCCCCCTGGAACTGCAACACTGGTTGGTAAGACGCAACAACAAACTTTCGGGGTTACCAGAGCTGACCGACTTGCCTGATCAGAACATCTCGAATGGACAGCATCTCAGACTAATAAAGATGAGATTCGTCTGGTACCCCAGCCAACATCAGACCCAGCAGACCCGCTGAACCTGCCCAAATGGCGGAAGCTTGTAATGCTCGCGGTCATGTCTATTCACCCTTTTGTGGTCAACTTCACTGCATCGTCGATCTCTAGTGCTTTGCCGATATACGCGTCGACACCAATACTTGGGCTCCCTCCAAAAGGGTTTTCGCAATTGACATACCTCGTTGCAGTCAATGTCTTCATGTTGGGAATGGCCAACCTGTGGTGGGTGCCCTTGGCAAATACCTTTGGGCGTCGGCCCGTGATTCTGCTTAGCTTGTTGTTGCTAGTCTTCTCGAGCATGTGGGCAGGATTGGCGACAAGTTTTGATAGTCTACTGGCTGCGCGTATATTCATGGGCATTGGTGGAGCACCTGCCGACGCGGTCAGTCCGGATGTGGTTGGCGAGATATTCTTCGTTCACGAGCGTGGACGTGCTATGGTATGTGATTGTGACAGAAGATTCTTCACATACCAGGATGCTAACAGCGTTGTGTGTAGGCCATCTACACTTCCTTTCTTGCTTTTGGGTCTCTTGTCGGCGCTGCTTGTGGTGGATACATTGTCGGACCCATGGGTCTCTCCTGGCTACACTGGATGAATGTTGTCCTTTCAGCCATTAGCTTTGCTCTCTGCCTCGTATTCCAAGCCGAGACGTTGTACGACCGTCCACAGACTTCATACGCATCCGACAACGAGGTCTCAAACAAGATCACTGCCGATACAAAGGAGAGTGTTGTCGTTGCTGGCTCCGTGGCACCATCCACGTACCCTTCCTATTCGTACCTCCGCTCGCTAAGGCTCATCACATATCAGCCAGGCATTGGTGCCAAGTTTTTGGCTCCTTACAAGGTCCTCCGGCTACCTGGAGTGTGGCTGGTCTCAGGCTGGTATGCTGGACTCGTTGGATTGATTGTGAGTGAAGATGATACGAATGATCTTACAAAAGTTACATCACTGACCCTGGTTTAGGTAACCATGTCAACAGTAGCTCCTCAGCTTGTTGGCAAACCCCCATATCTCTGGGGCAAAGGTGTCGGCCTGATCAACATTGGCGGCATCATTGGGACTATCCTAGGCTGTGTAAGTCTTTTGGGCCCCAGCAACCCTTCCGGTCCAGACATTTACTAATTCTCCTGGGTATTTCAGGTGTACACATACTTCGTCGCTGATTTCACGACCAAACGTCTCGCAAAGAAGGATCAGCACGGCTTCTCTGAACCAGAATCCCGTCTCGTCACCGCTCTCCCTGCCCTCTTCGCCGCTACCATCGGTGCACTCATCTTCGGCTTCGTAGCGCAGAACCCCTCGCCGACGGGCTGGGTGGGTTTGCAGTTTGGACTTGGCCTTGTCGCTTTCGGTCTCATGCAAGCGCCATCGGTGGGCTTCAACTATATCATTGAAGCGTATGGCAGCCTTGCTGGTGACTGCTTCGTCGCCATCACCTCGGCGCGCGCAGTGGTTAGCTTTGCCTGGTCTTTCTTCGTCGGCGAGTGGGTCATGCATGAAGGTCCGGCGGAGCCATTTGGCATCTTTGGCATGCTCATGGGCATATTCGGCTTGCTTACTATTCCCATGCTTATCTGGGGTAAGAGGCTGCGTATTTGGACCGCAAAGTGGGTTCCTCATGGAAAGCCGAGTTAGGCTTCTTATGTCAGATGTTCAATGTGGTTTGCATGATTCACGTTGTTTGTATGCACGTATGTTTGTATGTATGCTCATTGGATGGTCTCTCTCATCTGATCCATGATGATGTCCTTGTACATCACAAAGAGTGTATATAGCAAGAAAAAAACGCTTTGATTTTATTATGGATCTTGGTTACCAATGAATATTGAAATCCACTTCTCTCATTTCACCTAGGTAAACAACAAAGAAATTGATTGAATACATCTACGAATCATATCCACCCACCCGCCGATTCAAACCCTCAATAGAAAAAAAAACTGAAACTTATATAAAGGCAAACTTCCTCAACCCAGCCCTAACCCCAAAAAACAACGATGCCCCAATACACGTCAAGAGCGGGATACCGTAAACCCCCAACCCAATCAAAATACCTTGCTCAAAATATCCAATCGCAATCGATTCCTTCCGCTTCACCTCTTTAATTTCCTGCGCCGCCTTACCCAACATCTCACTCGCGACCTTCGCTCCCTCCTTACCCCCCAGCACCCTCTGCAGCACCTTCTGAGTAGCCGGCACCGCCACAAACGCGGGCGCCAGCCTTGAAAAATGCTCAACCGTATACCTCTTCTCCGCATCAAAGGGGACCTGCGATGAAAGTTCTGGGGCAGCGGGACCCAGCAGCAGCGAAAACGGGACGCCATTTGCAAACGACACGGCTGCCGGCACGAATTGCGAGAGGTACTTTGCCGTGGCGTTGGCGCCGAAGTGGTAGCTTGCCAGTAGGGTGTCCTGGGGTGAGAGGTCTTGCTCGACGAGGCTGATGGCGTGCTCGAGCGATGTTATGGGCGAGACTGCGAGAATGGGCTGTGTGGATTTTGGAGGGAGGGAAGATAAGTTTGAGAGTTCGACGATGGCGCCGTTGTCGCCTTGGGAAATGGTTGTCACGTCCCAGGATTTTGACGAGGATAGGGTGGAGAAGGCGTCGGATATCCGTGATGATGATGATGATTTTTGTTGGGAGTTGGGGTGAGAGGAGCCGTTGGAGAGGGAGCCGGAGCCGGCGAGGTAGCGGAAGGAGAGCTGCAGGACATGTTCAAGGAAGTCTTTTTTGATGAATTCGTTTACGAGGATTATGTCGGGAGCGTAGGGGGATGTGCCGCCGAAGGCGAAGCGGGCAGTGACGAGGTGCGAGGCCGCGGTGGAGAGGTCCGCGGTGCGGTCTACGATTGCGATTACTTTGCCTTGAGGGGAGATGTGCTGAGAGTATGTGGGTTGGCTGATTTGCGTCTCTTGGAGGACTTGGAGGCAGGTTGAGAGGGAGTCGGCAGGTGGGGAGGAGGTGATGATGAGGAAGGTGTCAGATTCGAGGGCTTCGGTGAGGAGCTTGCGGAGAAGAGAGGGGAGAGCTCGGAGGTTGTTTTCAAGCTTTTTTTTGTGTTAGCTGTGAATCGTTGAGAGGAAATCCAAAAATCATGCTTACCTTGAGCGCTACACAGGTACCCGCTGCAATAGCTGCACTCAAAGGTGACAGGACCGAAAAGAAAGGTGTATGGCTTTTTTGCGGCTCAATGTACGCAACACCCCACGGTACTCTTCTGTCACTGGCATCTTTGCCATTTGTGATGCGGTATTCCGCTTCCAGCTCTTTTGTCGCATCAATGGAAGCATAGTGCTCTTTGACTAGGTCGAGGACGACTGCAACCTCTGTAGTTGCTTCCTCGTCAGATACATGCGTATCCTGTTTGATAGCGTTCCTGATAGCATCGCTACTATTACGAAGCGCATCATGCAGCGACTTGAGCTGCTTCTGTCTGAAAAAGGCGTTGTGGCAGCGTGCTGTGAGGGCAGTCGCCTGGAGGATCTCCAGCGCGGCTTCGGGGGTAATTGGCGACGACGACATGATGAGACTGCAAAACCGAACAGGCAAAGAAAATCACAACAGAATTGTCGAAAACTGGAGGAAAGCAGAAAATCTCTACTACTATGTAAGCGCGAAAAAACATCCCTGGACCACACCGGTATCATGTCCCACCCAACCCGACGGCAATGCGATGAGACGACGACTTATCAGTACGGAACACGCAACACCCATGCTCCCCCACATTCCGACCCCCAGCGCCCCACTACATTCTCCCCCCCTCCGTCCCGCCCGCTGCCGCCTCCGCGTCTTCCCAGCGCGACGAAACACGACCATTTGGTAATCCCCGACATCCAACTTTTCCACCCGTGTCTTTTCAGTGAACAACAATAAACCGCAGTACCATTTCCCACTTTCTCCTTCCCCCTTCACCATACCCCCTCCCCCAACAAACAGCGAAACAATGTCTGTAACAACAACCACAAACCCAACACACTACACCCTCGCCGCCACCCTCGCAGACTACGATCTCCACCACACCACAGAAGGCGGCCACGATGCTACTCTAAATGCGCATCCCAATCCCGCAGCGAATGCACAGCAGAATCCGAGTCATTGGCCTACGACGCAGCATCGCCGTGTTCCGGTGTATAGGCCTGTGAATACGCAGTTGGATCAGAGTGAGAGGAGGGTGTATTTGAATGGGATTGAGCAGGCGTTTGTGGGGGTGATGTTTACGGGTGTGCTCTTGGAGTCGGTGAGTTTAATTGATCTTTTTTTTAGGGGGGGAAGGGAGAAGGGGGTGGCTTGAGAGAGAGGGAAGTGGCTAACAGGGAGATATAGGCAATGTCCAAGATTTGGAGGAATTCATTTGGGCGGGTGTGGAATGTTGGGTATAAACTTGGTGGCGAGTGGTGAAGTCTTTTGAATGGGTTTGAGAGGTTTAGGGAGTTGCTGGGTCTTTAATTCTATTTTTTTTTGTTCTGTTGGAAATCGGGGCAATGTAGAAGGAGGTTTGTCGTCGAGAAAAGTGATGCACATGTACATTTCCTCGTATTACACTTGAGATGCAAAAACAGCAATCTACTCCATCTGGAAACTGGCTTAGTAATAACCCACTAACCTACATCGTTCCCTCGGTACAGTGAATGCATTCCTGCTGACATGCATTTTCCCAAATGCAACCTAATCTCACAATGTGCCACACAACATACACCATTTAAACAGCCAAAAACTCGCTCGTCCATTCAGATGCGAGATCCAACATATCCTAAAGTGGAAGAACGCCTAAAACATGCGTTCATGCGGTCACCTGCAGGAGAGACTATTCCCGGGAAGTGGAGGAGGAGGAGGAGGAGGAGGAGGAGGGGGGGGGCAAAAGGATCTATTTCCACGAACCGAACCTTGGTGTGACCACGATGTAGCTAGGAGCAAAAAGTGGGAATCAAAGCCAAGTTCGCTGGTTTTTATTCTGATTTTCAGGATCAATCCTTTTTCACTTCTATACTTTCAGTTCTTGGTACCGCTTCGTTGTCTTCTTTTTCGTCCAGTGTATCTTGCGCCGTAACTATGGACTTTACAAACAGTACCACCACGAACGGTATCAATGGTGTCAATGGCGTCAACGGACACGACGACGCCTCCCAGAGGCCCCTCAACATCACAATCTGTGGAGCAGGCATCGGCGGTCTGAGTGCAGCAATATTCCTCCGACAACAAGGCCACACGGTGACTCTCCTCGAAGCCTCGGGCTTCTCCAATGAATTGGGTGCCGCTGTGCATCTCGCCCCCAACGCCAATGGCCTTCTACGCCGCATGGGCCTGAGTCCCGAGGCACAAGGCGCAGTCAGTTGCAAGCAGATGACGCAGATGCTTCCCAACGGGCGGGAACTCTTCAGTATAGACCTATCACAAGGCGCAGGACGGTGGCAGCACCCCTGGCAACTCGCCCACCGCGTGAGTCTACACAGCGAACTGAAGCGACTTGCCACATGCGAAGAAGGAAAAGGCAAGCCCGCTGTACTCAAGCTCCGCTCCAAAGTCGTCGATGTAGACCCCAAAGAAGGCACTGTCGTGCTGGAGAGCGGCGAAAGAATCCAAAGCGACATCATCGTCGGCGCAGACGGCGTCCATTCCAAAACCCGTCTGCGGATCCCAGGCGCAGAAAACATCAAAGTCTTTGGTAGTGGCAAGAGTGCATTCCGTTTCTTGATTTCCCGCCAAAAAGCCTTTGATGACCCCGAGACACGCAAGTTTGCAGACAAAGAGGGCCATCTGATTATGATCTTTGCTCGCGACAGGAGAGTCGTCGTGTACCCAACGTCTGACAATACGCTTCTGAATTTCGTGTGCATTCATCCTACGTCTGAGAGCCAGATTGATGCGCAAGAGCCTGGAAGCAGTGATTGGCAGAATCAAGGAAACCTGGGCAAGATGCTGGAGGTGTACAAGGAGTTTGAGCCTGCGGTACTCAAGCTGCTGGGTATGGCGGATGAAGAGACGTTGAAAGTGTGGGAATTGCTGGATATGGAGCAGTTGCCTAGTTGGACAGAAGGGAAGTTAGTCTTGATAGGTGATGCTGCTCATCCTTTTACTCCACGTAAGTTCACCCTCCCAAAACCCGCTTTCAGAAGAATAAAATGAAACGGAAACTAACTCGTTTGTTTAATGATAATCAGACCAAGGACAAGGCGCAGGCCAAGCAATCGAAGACGCCGCTTCCCTCGCCGTCATGCTTCCCATAGGCGTACCCCACTCCTCCATCCCCTCTCGCTTCAAACTCTACGAGCGCTGTCGCTACGACCGCGCGAGCACAATCCAAGAATACTCACGCGTCGCCGGTAAAGACCTGGGCACAGGCCCACCCCTCGACACTACAAAATTCACAAACTACAATTTCGGCCACGACGAATGGCACTATTCCAGCCAGATGCTGCGGAAATGGGAGTGGGAGAATAACAAGAGTCTGCTGTGGAGAATGCCAACTGCATTTGGACCCATGCCTGGTCCGCGTCAGGACTTTTACGGGAGGCAGAGGGATGGAAGCGGTGCGACGTTTTCAACGGCAAGTGTCAAAGTAAGGACGAGTAGGACGGTGTTGGAGAATTTGCTGCCGCCGAATGGCAAGTTTAAGTTTGCCAGTACGGATACGACGGCG